TAGTATCATTTAGATGAATTTTATTTTTCTTATTTGAATTTTTTCTCTTAGTGAATTTTGTAACATTTCTCTAATAAAAGAGTCTCCTGGTACAGATTGATAACAAGCAGCTAGTCAAAAACCCATCAGAGGAGTTCTGTCTTGGCAAAAAGACGAAGAAAGAATTAAAAAAGGCAATTGTCAAATTTACGGAGACATTACAAGATCCATCTGAAGATGGAGGGAATGAACAAGCAGAAGGCAACACAGAAGAATACGAAGCCAGCAATGGACAAGAACATCAAACAAGCAGCACAGAAGAAGAAACCAGCGAAGAAAGTGAGGAAATAGAACCAGAAGACAAAGAACAAAATGAATAGAAAGAAGAAGACAGTGATCAAGAAGATGAAGAAGAAGATGAACAGCAAGAAGAAAACAAGGATGAAAGTGATGAAGAAGAAAATAATAAGTCGATGGACCAACAACATGATGAAGAAAGTGATGAAGAAGAAAATGAACAGAAAGAAAGTGAACAAGAAGATGAAGATGAAGATGAACAAGAAGAAGAGAACAAGGATGAAAGTAAGGCACTTTCTCAATCTAAAAAAGAAGAAGACAAAAATTGGATTGAATTACTTGCTGAAAAGGATATTTCAATAAGAATCCTGACATCATATAACTCAGAACTTCAAGAAAAAGAAAGCACAATCCGAATGAAACTAAGGATGTTGGAGGTTGAAAAAGCAGACGATACAAAAACAATTCAACAGCTGAGGTGTTCAAATTCGGAGCTTGAAACTGAAAATGCTAAATTGCATGAACAAGTTCAAGAACTATCCGTCCAACTAGCAACACAACCATACCGAACACCAACACAACTTCAACCACAATGTGAGTGAAAATCTTGAGCCACAAAAAGTTATGTCCTTGTGTCAACATAACTCAGAGAAATTTCTATTTATTATAATTTTCTCTGTCATTGGTAATTTTCTCTGAAAGTTATATCTCTCTGAACACATTAAGTTATATTTCTATGCTCATTTCATTTCTTCTGTATATTTTCTATTACCATTTTGGGGCTGTTCTATTTCACTGTGTAATAGTTGGAATGCAAAGTGGAACAACAACCAACACCCAACAAGAACACAAGCACAAGAAACCGAAACAAAAGACAAAACACTAATGTGAACTCTGCCAAATAATTGAATTATATTAAATTTACATATTGAGAATATCATCTGTTGCTGTCAGAAGAAATTTCACCTTTTCCTCAGTATTTTCACTGTCTACAGTAAAAAAAATCCGACGTCAATATGATAAAAAATTAAAGGCAAAAAGAAAGGAGGAAGAGCATGAAAGCAGTTAGGAAAACATAGCAATTCCCTCCACAATTCCAAATGCGAGTCTGATATTAAACAATACATACACCCTTCTGATCTAATACTCCACATAAATGTTTCAAAGAAACCAACACCAATGTTTTATTCTTAGCATCAACAAACAGCAAAAGCTACAGGAAAAAAACCTAAAAACAAATAGGAAACAAGCATATTAGATATACAATGCAGAGAAAATAGAACAATAAACAACCAAGAGAAGTTTGAACATGCCAACATCCAGAGAAAATTCACTTAGTGCCAACTCCAAAGAAAATTCACCAACATTGGAACATCCAGAGAAAAGTTGACTTAGTGACTAGCTACAGGAAAATTCACACAATCATAATATACAGGAGAAAATTCACTTAGTGACCACCTACAGATACAATTTCCACAACAATAACAACATCCAGAGAAAATTCACATACACTGATCAAAATCCAGTGAAATTCTCAACAGTGGCCACATAGAAATACACAACATGGCCAAAACCAGAGGGAAATTCACATCACTCACATTCCTACTGTACAGAAAAGTCACATACTTAGATTAAAATTAATATATTATTACAATTACTTCGATCCCATCTTTCCCCTATGCAGCAAGCATAACTCCTTAGTATCGTCTTTCAAATAATGGTTCCATCAAGAAAAAAGCAATGAACGACATATATTGAAACCAGCAATGCATGCATGAAAACCAACAAACAACTCTTTTGAACGGCTTGTATGTTTCTCAAAATCTAACCAAACGAACTACCTGGATTGCTTCCAATGCCCTCATCAAAAATACCACCGTAAATTGTCCAATGAAAACAAGAATCCCCATATGTACTACATTTTTCGCTTTTTCAACTACCACAACGCAACCAACAGTTAACTGATTGAGACCCCATACTGTGTCTTTCATTCTCTTTCAACAACATCCATGACGAGTTAAAGGTTTCACTACTGTCTTCAAGTATCAGCCCAGGAAACTAAGCTGGAAGTCATCCTCATCAGAATGTTTATCGTGACGAACCGCACACCGACACGTATGTTTCATTGTTCAAAAGTCTCGTTTATGTTGAGATAGAAACCCATTTGTTTTATTCCAACAGAGCATGTACAAGCCACATACACCCCTTGATCTTTATACCTGCGAACATTCTGCCGTAACCCTCAGTGCTTGTATTTTTAACATACGTAACTGAAAACCAACCAAAGCATACTTGGCATAAAAAGTACGGAACCAAACACACCTAAACTTTTGTCAAACTGTTATTATATTCGCCAACTAGCCGACAATAACTTTTTTCCTTGGTGAGAACCATAACTAGAGAGTGAATTCACTATTCAAACATCACCGCTAATACACTCACACATCCACAAACTGATCTACCAATTGACCCATTCATCCTCTTCATCAGAAGTATACATTGTTTCTATTAACATGAAACAGTCACTATTAACACGGTGCAAAAAACCTACATATATCAAAAATCAATATTATTCTCGAAACCATAGAATTCGGATGGCAAATAGAAATGAATACACCATAGTCTCAGATTTCATTCTCCATGTTTTCAGCACAAATGCCAAACATTCCTCAAAATTACAATTTCGCTGAACATTAATGAAATGTATAAATCACATTTTTTGCACAGCACAACATGCACTGTCATCCTGAATACTCGAAACAAAAAACAACAAAAAATAATTTGTTTAACATAAGAACATTCAAGAAAACATAAAAGTCAGAGAAATTTCTAAAAATTATAATTTCTCTGACTTAAATAAAGTCCAAAGACATCTCAAACTGATATCACCTTCATGATAAAAACAAATCACAGATAACTTATGATACCAGAGAAATTTACTGATATATTAAACAAAATTATAGAAAAAAAATCACATAGAATATATATTATGAAATTATAGGTTCCAACATGATTTTCACCTCAACTACAAAGCTAAACATTTTCTATGCGTCATTCTGTAAATATTGACTCATAGAAAAATCAGAGAAATTTACAACTTATATACACTTTCAAAGATAAAAAACCTGGCATTGTTCCATCTAACTAAAGAAAACACAAAAAATAACTTTTGCTTAGAGAACAAAGCTTTAATTCATCTTCTACAAACATATACTTTCTCTGAACTACAAAATAGAAAGTGAGTAACAAACTTACAATTATTTCTCTGAATACAATACAAGTCAGAGAATTTTATCGAACTTAATTACTTTCTCATATTATATCTGTTGAGGAACTTCTAATAATATGTATATGCACTTATAATTTCCTCTGGATACACAAACAAAGTGCAGAAAATGAAATTTTCTGGTTTGAAAAACATTAGAACAAAACTTATCATTGATCAGCATGTTGATAAAAAACAGAGCTCCAAAAATGAACTCTAAACATCAAAATCACCTACACTGTCAACACTATCTGAAATTGATCAAAAAAACAAAGAATGAAAAATTAATTCCAAAAATAAAAATCAACTCTATCAAGTTGGCCTCTCTCTAAACAAAAATTCAAAACAAAAATCAAAATCCATGTGGAATCTAAATCGAAAACAAACCTAATTCAACTCCACTCAAAAACCTACGCGATCAACATACTGTCAACACTCTTTGAAAATGATTAAAAAACAAATAATAAAAAATTAATTTCAAAAATAAAAATCAACTCTATCAAGCTGGCCTCTCTCTAAACAAAAATTCAAAACAAAAATCAAAATGCATGTGGTATCTCCATCGAAAACAAACCTGATTCAACTCCACTGAAAATCTACGCGATCAACACACTGTAACACCACTGAAATCTCTTACGAAATCTCCAACGAAATCTACACGATCGTAGCAATCTTTCTCGTCAACTCCACTGAAATCTCCGACGAAATCTCCACCATGAAATCTCCACTGAAATCTCCGACAAAATCTCTACTTCAAATTCGATTTCCAAAATCTATCAGTTAAGTCAACAATATAATATTCAAACAAATTTATGTTATAAAGGAAGGGTAATTTAGGTACTTTATAACCTAAAATAAATTTGAGGGACCTTAGCCATCAAAACATATTATAAAAGACCTCTCCTCCTATCAAAAGTAGAGGAGGGACCTTAGGCCAATTTTTCCTAAAAAATATATATATCATTTTTCTTCCATCTTAAATTCTCTTTCTATTTTACATTAAAAAAAAAACTTATTCATCCTATTAAAAATTACTTCTATCGTATCTATTTTTTTTTTATGTGAATATAATTTATATATTATATTTTTTTTTTGACAACTCTAATAGTGAAACCTGATTCCTATCGTATCTATTTTTTTTTTTATGTGAATATAATTTATATATTATATTTTTTTTTTGACAACTCTAATAGTGAAACCTGATTCCGTCCGGTACATTGGGTGAAATTATTCAATACTCCCGGAGCACCACATGTTCATCCTCTAAACCAATCATCAATTAGTTAGTCTCATATTATTTCCCATCTCCAACATAAATCGTGAACCCTTGTGTCTATCCACCAATCAAAACCTTATGAAACACCACAACACCTGTCCATACTGTGGGAGCGGGAGCACTGAATAATCACCCGTAGGTTGGTTAGTTGTAGTCTTTTCATTCAATTTCCAACTACTACTACATACGGACTCTGGCATGTGGCTTCTCTGATTGATCCACCGACAGGCACCGATGCGATGATGTGAGTTTGAGTTTGGAAAGAAAGAGTATAGTGTAGTTAGTCTCCGACATTCGGCATGCCCATCTCCGAAGCCGAATCCTCCTCCTCCGCCCTCCTCGTTGACTACAAAGGCCACCCTGTCCACCGCTCCAAGTCCGGCGGTTGGCGATCCGCTTTTTTTATCATAGGTTCGGTACCTTCTTCAATTACATTTTTTTTTTATATCTATATATATATATGGTTTAGTTTCACTTTAATTTGCTAAGTTTTTTTTTTGTTTTTGTTTCCCTTCCCTAAACTATCAATATTTTCTTGACAGTTGTATAAATAATTAACTGATGAAAAGCTTGATTTGATGGGTTATCAAAAGCCTATTGAATTGGTTGTGCAGTGTAATTTGTTCTAAATAATAAGAAGAATGTTTACTTTTTTGTTGTATGTATGGTTTAATTATTCAAATTTTGAAATACTAATGAATTAGGCTTCAAACTTTAGCTACTAAATAGACGAAAATGATAGTTTAAGAATGAAAATGAAAATGAAAAAATGGTGATAGTTTAGAAGATATTAGGAAATTAAATTATATGTGTGTGTGTGTGTGTTTAGCTCAATTGAATTTGAGTGAATGGAGTAGTGTGGAGTTGGCAGGTGTGGAATTGGCAGAGAGGTTTGCGTATTATGGTATAAGCTCTAACCTCATAAGCTACCTAACGGGGCCAATGGGTCAATCGAAGGCCACGGCGGCGGAGAACGCGAATACATGGAACGGTGTGGCGTCGCTTTTGCCGCTGTTAGGAGCGTTCATAGCTGATTCATTTCTCGGTCGATATCGCACCATTTTGATTGCTTCTCTGCTCTACATCCTGGTTAGTTAGTTAGTTACTCTCAATTAATATAGTATGATTTTATCTGATTCAATTTTTATTTAAGACTTGTTTTGTGTTGTATTGGGTATTTTATTGTATATGTTAGGGGAAAAAATGATTTTGTCTTTCCAAATTATCACACCGTATCACTTTATTACCTGAACTATTAATTTAAACAATTACTTGCTTAATATTAGTTTCCTTTATTCTAAATCATCAACAGAGTCAATATATTTTTTACGGAATATCAAACTCTTGACTATATGAACCAAGTTGAGTTATTTGTAATTGGTACTGGTGATGATAAAAGTGTTTTCTGGTTATCTACCTTTTACGTCTTTTATTAGTGTCTTGGGCTTGAGTCAAGTCATGTGAAATCAGCTTACTGTCAGCAACAGAATGTTTAATGGAAGAGGAAGACAATGACAATGATACTTTCACAACTTAACAATTGTTAGCTTGTCAGTCAGGAGTTTGAGAGCTTAATGCAACCTAATTCTATCTCCAGTCTTGGATCACCAATCTGGGGAACAACACATTAGTTGCTTTGACCTTTTGATCTTTGATGGTATAACAACCTGTTGACAAAGCTCCAACTAAACTCTCATTATTTTATTCTAATTTATGCCCAACTTGGGCTGTTGTCAAATACAATCCAGTCACAGTCTGATCATTTAACTAGGCCAGCATGTTTTTTGAGTACTAAATTTTAGCAAGCTTATGGGCACTTGAGACTACATATATTTTTTGGTTGACAAAAGAGGCCTCAGGCCTTTTTGGCTTTTGAAATTGCTGCTGGGGCATGTTTTGGAATGTTCTTACGACAAACATATTTTTGTCATAGTTGTGTGATGATTGTATTTGTATTTGAATCGGATTCAACCACAGGGACTTGGCTTGTTGTCTCTTTCTGCTATGCTTCCTTCTCTCAGCTCTCCCGAGTGTCGAAATGGTGCAAACATCATGTCCTGTTCCCCTCCTCAATTCCAAGTTATACTATTCTTCTTCTCACTGTATCTAATAGCATTTGCCCAAGGAGGTCACAAGCCTTGTGTTCAGGCTTTTGGAGCTGACCAGTTTGATGGGAAAGATTCGGAAGAGTTGAAAGCCAGAAGCTCATTCTTCAATTGGTGGTACCTTGGTTTGTGTGGAGGTCCTACAGCAGCATTCTTGTTCTTGAACTACATCCAGGACAACATTAATTGGGGTCTTGGTTTTGGAATCCCATGCATTTCCATGGTGGTGGCACTGGTCATATTCTTGATTGGAACTAGAACTTATAGGTATTCCATCAAAGGACACAACAACAATACTTTTTTTAGAATTGCTAAGGTATTTGCTACTGCAGCAAAGAATTGGCGAACCAGTTCTTCAGTGATACTGGTTGAACATGAAGCTGAAGGAACCCTGTGTCACTCTCAGCAATTCAAGTAAGAGAAAATTCCTACATATCATGAGTTTGGAATATAAAGTATCCTCTTGAGTTTGCTTTTTGCTGCTAAATGATTTGAAATTTATTATGTTCCACATTGCAAGTCATATAGATGTGCCATTGAAATTGATTCAGCTTTTAGTATTTCTAGTCATGAAGACTCAAAAACTTACAGTAAAGTACATTCTGTTTTTGGTCGCTTATGGGTGAGTCATTTATTCGTTTGTGACAGTTTGACAAGTGGGCATTGTAGGAATCCATGAATGGATTTCTTTCAATGTTGTGTACTTGTCTGTTATGCTCTCCAATGGCTCCACACCAGATGTTTTCCTTTTCACTGAAGTTCTCCCCGAAAAAAAGTTGGATTGGTTCAATTAAGGACATTCATGGCACATATACACTATTTCTCTCTACTTATTTGTGATGGAATTTCATTGTGGACTTGTGCAAACAGATCAAGGCCTTATTTCATTGCTGTTAGAACAGCATGCGTTGAGATTACTACAATGAGTACTCAAACCTGCTTTAATGTAGTAATTTGGTTTCTTGTAGGTTTCTTTACAAAGCCTTGCTTGCACCAACGGATTCAGAGGAAGGAGGAGGAGTGTGCAGGATCAGCGATGTCGAAGATGCAAAGGCACTTCTAAGGCTGGTTCCAATATGGGTTACATGTTTTGTATATGCTATTGTATTTGCACAGTCCTCCACTTTCTTTACTGAGCAAGGAAAAACTATAGACAGATCAATTCGGCAAGGCTTTGATATCCCAGCTGCTTCTCTTCAGTTGTTTATCGGGGTTTCCATCATTTTCTTAATTCCCATCTATGATCGCATTTTTGTACCTCTTGCAAGGGCTGTAACCGGGAAGCCCTCAGGCATAACAATGCTTCAAAGAATTGGAACGGGCATGTTTGTATCTATTATTTGCATGGTAGTTGCTGCTCTAGTTGAGATGAAAAGGCTTGGAATTGCTTTGGAGTTTGGGCTTGTTGATGTGCCGGAGGCAACTGTTCCTATGAGCTTCTGGTGGTTGGTTCCTCAGTACCTATTGCTTGGAATTGCTGATGTGTTCACCATAGTTGGCATGCAGGAGTTTTTCTATGATCAGGTGCCAAGTGAATTGAAGAGTTTAGGTCTCTCTCTATACCTTAGTATAATTGGCATTGGGAGTTTCTTGAGCAGCTTTCTCATCTCTGTCCTTGAGAAAACTACCGGTGGAGAGGGACAAGTTTGTTGGTTTGATGATAACTTGAATCGTGCACATCTGGATTACTTCTATTTTCTGCTTGCTGGACTTAGTACACTTGGATTAGTAGCATATATATATTTTGCAAAATATTATATTTACAATTGAGGATGTTTAAAATTGTTGCTGTAACTATGACAATTATAAGGAATGGTCAGTTTGAAAAAAACTTGTGAGTACCGTATTGGTAATCCATTTCCTATAACATTTTTTCCCCTCTATATTTTCATTTAAATTTTTTTTGGGAAAATTACCAAGAAGTTTTTTTTGAAACATGTGTAGTCTATTTAGTCATATAACCTTTTGTTGATACCCAAAAGTCCTATAACATTATTTTTTTTCTGTCTTCCTTCTTCTCCATCTCTTTTGCTCTTTGTGATTTCTGGCGATTGTTGATGAGTAACCATATCTTGCATCTTCTCTTTCTCTTTCCGATATATAGTCATCGACGACTGACGACTACCATCGATTGGGATTTACCGGCAATCACCGACCACCGCCTCTTTACTTCACCCTCACCGACGGTAAAGAATATATGTTTCTAACGAAGAAGATAAACAGATCTACTTATTAGTAATAATTATAGATTGGTAGGGTTATAAACAATTAACCACTAGAGACGCATCACAATAAATTATTAGTAAACAAAAACAACTTGAAATAAATGAAATAAAACAAAATAAACAAAAATACAACTTTAACTAAAGTTTTTTATTTTATTTTAACTCCTCCTCATTCCTTGTGGCTCTGGGCAGGGGTTCTCAGCTCATCTATTGATTTATTGACCGATCATTTTTGGTCTATTTCGATGATCTGAATTATTACTATGTAAAACTCGTCGAATACTTTTATCTTTATAAAAATTCACGTTAATCAGATATCATTAGAAATTTGATCATATCAAATTTGTGTTAACGGTAAGTATGATTTTAAAAATAAATTAGTGACACAAATGTAATCTAATCAGGTGGTTATTGATATCCGATCAACGTAATATTTTACAAAAATGAAGTACGCGACAAGCCTTTTGAATAATCAAGACAAATTCAAAATAGGCCAAATTGAACCGTCCTGTTAGAGTAACCAACTACAGAGATCCTGTCAATGCTGAAAATTACTTTTTATTCGATTGAGAACTGTAAGTAGAAGAGTTAAAAGGACGAGAATTTTTGACATGAAAAAGAAGCATGTTCAAGAAAGAGAAAATATCAAAAATAGTGAAATGAGGAAACCATTCTCAAATCCTGAGTTTTTTGAAACAAAAATGTGGATATTATATTATATATATTGGGAGATTGTGCATATTATATCATATGAAGGTATGGAATATTGCTATGCATTTTAATATAAAAATAAAATAGAATTATAGTGTAAGAAATTATAAAAGACCCGATTGGATTTTTTAGCCTGGGCCTTAAATAAGCTTGAGTGAAGAAACTAGACTGAAATTTTAATAAAAATATGCAAGAATTAAATTAAAATTTTAACAAAAATATAAGACTGTTGACAAGATTAAAAAAAAATATGTCAATGCTTAACTTACATGACAACTTATGTAAGAGTATACTCAACGTTGTATCAATTTTTTTATTGAATGGGAGTAAAAATTTTAGTGAAAACTTTGTTTGAAATCAAGTGCTCCAATGAAGAGTTTTGACTTTTTATCAAATCATTAGTTGACCAGGCGGATGACTGGCTAGTCGACTAGTTAGTGTAATTTTTTCATAAATTTTTGCTTTAAGGTGGTCATCTAGGGGGATGATCGGAAGGATATCCGGGGGACATCCGGCAACGGTAATGAATAGTGATTTGATGAAAAAAAGATTGATCCTCAGTTTGGTGAAAGAAAAGTGAATCCTCAATTTGATACATATTCGATGCAACCGTTGGAGTAGGAAAATGACTCATTTTTCATTAAATTTAAATTTGATGAAAGGTTTGAGTAATCATTGGAGATAGTCAAAATGATCAAAATGAGATACAATAATAAAAAATAAATAAAATAAAGGGCGAATTACACTAACAGTCCTTATAATTTGGATTCGTGTCACTTTGGTTCCTGATTTTTCAATTGTGACACATTTGATCATGAATTTTGAATCTTGTTCAAAATAAGGATAATTGAAGATACCATTGCTTAATTTCAAGGGCAAAATCGTCAATTTGATAACATAAAAGCAGATTTGACAAAAATAAATGTTAAAAAAATATTTTTCAATTTTTAAAAAACTATTTCTACCCACCAAAGATAAAATTATGTAAAATTGATAAATCTTTTACATATTTATTTATTTATTTTACCAAATTAATTTTTATTATGTGTTTGAATGATGATTATGTAATGGGTGGTTATTAGACTTTTAATGTGTAATCGATATATTTAATATATGAAATGTTTTTAATTTGGATTTTTTTGATTTAATGAATTGATTTAATAATGATATTAAAGTTGTCGCTATATTTGACTTTTAGAAAAATAGAAACTAATTTAATGAAAATAAAAATAACCACCCATTACATGATTATCATCCAAACTATAATAAAAATTAATTTGGTAAAAAATAAATAAATAAATGTGTAAAAGATTTATCAATTTTATAAAATATTATTTTAGTAAAGAGAAATAATTTTTAAAAATTCAAAACTATTTTTTGATATTTATTTTTGCCAAATTAGTTTATATTTTATCAAATTGATAACTTTATTTTTGAAATTGAACAATGATATTTTTAATTATCTTTATTTAGAATAAAATTTAAAATTTAAAATTAAAGTGAAAAACTAACACAAGAGTAATGTACTGATGTTGCAGCCGATAACAAAATACAAATCACCATCCCTAATTATTATAGATTAGATTCGTGCGTTTTGAATAAGAATAATATTATATGTATTAATTAATATACACATTAATATAGTAATAGATGATATGATATTATTTACATAATTTTAAATATTTATAAGGGGTATTTTTTTTAAGGTCCCTGATATTATGATTTTATAGTATAAAGGACATCAAATATTTTCATGATGTCTAAGGTCCCTTAACAGGATCCAGAGAAATTTCAGTCACAGAGAAATTCTCTCCAGAGAAAATTGAAATCCAAAGAAATTTCAGTCCCAGAGAAATTTCAGTTCCAAAGAAATTCTCTCCAGAGAAAATTGAAATTTCTCTGAGTACCAAATAAATCCAGAGAAAATTGTGGAAAGGAAATTTGTATGACAATGATATTTTTAATTATCTTTATTTAGAATAAAATTTAAAATTTAAAATTAAAGTGAAAAACTAACACAAGAGTAATGTACTGATGTTGCAGCCGATAACAAAATACAAATCACCATCCCTAATTATTATAGATTAGATTCGTGCGTTTTGAATGTTTTGAATAAGAATAATATTATATGTATTAATTAATATACACATTAATATAGTAATAGATGATATGATATTATTTACATAATTTTAAATATTTATAATTATACATAGTCAATAATAATATTATAATACTAATTAAGATACTAATGTATATATTAATCAATACATGTAATACCACCGTTTAAATAAATAATTAAACCACATGAGACGCATGACAATTAATTAAAAATAAATAATTGTAAGAAACAAAAGTTGCACTTTGAGTCTGATGAGGCGATCGATCTCAAAGAGTGTTCTAAGTCTCCTCCGATAACTGGACATGGCCATCTCAACGCTCGCCGCCGATATTTCCGACGCCGACTCTGCCATCGTAGTTGACTACAGAGGCCGATACCCAGTTGACCGCTCCAAGTCCGGCAGCTGGCGATCCTCATTTTTCATCATAGGTATCAAAAATTACTTTATTTTTATTTATATATTTATTTGGAGAACAATTCAAATTCATGAAATCAAAAGATATTACAAGAAATTTTATATATATATAAATCAGAGTTTCACTTTTATAGCGAAATAAATTTTATTAATTTCAATTTTAATATTTTGGTTTGTTTTTAATTCAAACTTTCTTATCTATTTTTTTAATTAAAATTAATGAAAAAATTAATAGTTTAATCATTAAATTCAATATAAATAAAATCTCTCTTCACCTATTTTTTTTTTTTTTTTTTTTTTTGGGGTTGTTGAGTTTAATAATTAAAATATCATTTTTGTCAATTTTATTTAATATTGATAAAAATAGACAATAATAATAATATTTAAATTGATAAAAGTAAAAATTAAAATTTTATTTTTTTGTGAAAGTTAAACCCTATGGATTTTTTTGTAGATTACTCAAGATATTACAAATAGATTTCGCCAACTTATGCGCCGGCTGCGCAAAAGATCTAGCAAAAAAAATTACTCCATTTGTGTGTATATATTTATATTAATAGTTGGTGGAAATATGATACACTTGTAATTTTATATTTGTATTTTCTGGCAATTTGATGAATAAGAAAGATGAGTTAAATTTAAAAACTGTTAATAATTATTTACAACAATATGGACATTTTTTAAAGAAAGAAAAAATGCCAATGTTTCAAAACTATTACAAGATTAAAGTGATATGAGACAAAATATGTGTTTTAATGTCTTTAATGTAAAAAAATAAATATTTTTAGGGTTTAAAATAAATTGTTTGTGTCATTTGAGTTCTCAATATTTAAATTTTATCAATTTAATATTCAATATATAAAAAAATGTTCAGCCTCCTTTTGGGAAGTGGGTTGGCTTTTTGGCTTTTTTTACTATATGAGCCTGGGCTCAAAAGCTTAGTTTGGGAAGGGCTTTTGGCTTTTTGGCTTTTTTGATTTTTTTGTGAGAGAAGAGTGTAATGATTATGGGGTTGGATGAGATGTTTTGTCTGTTGTGGCTCATGAGCCTATTCTATCTTTTATGGCTCATTGAGCCAAAAAAGCCCAATGAACCCTTGCCAAACCAACCCCCTTGATCTAACTTGATTAACTAATGACGTTAAAATAGGGATAAATGTGAAAATCATTTTAAAAAAATTACACTATTAGTTTCTAATCATTTAAAACTACACATTTAGTAGGTGTTTGATACGCACTAAAAAAATGTACTTTTTTTAGCATATATACACTTATTTGGATCACATCAATTAACATTTATCAATATCTCCTTCTACTTTTCTACCTACTTTCTCTATTTTTTTATACATTTTTTTTTTATAAAAAATTAAAAAATACACTTATTTAGAATATCCCAAAGCACTCCTTA